CTTTTTTAAAAGTGATTTTTCACACTTAACAATTTGAGAACAAGTGTTAATGTAATATTTCTAGTGAGAATTTTTTTGTTATTAGAAGCATGGGAGTGAAATAATGTGAAAGTTGGTGGCGAGTGCTTCTATCATATTACTGTAGGTACTTGGACTGGTGCAAACTTGATTCCCTTTCATACCCCTATTTAGGAGCTGTTAAAATATTACTGTTGAAAATCCAATACCATTCTTTGTTTCATGTAATACGAAAATAGCCAAATTTACTGTAGAGCTTCTTAACTATGAAGAGCTCTTCTGTTTTTATTGAAATTTGTTAGAGTTCAGTGTGGTACAAAACCACTTAGCCTATGTATTGGACAAAGAAAAATTAGTATCATGATAAAATTCCACATGTGAAGAGGATTCTCGTAAGCTTTTAAAAAATGATTTCAGTGAAGTTTAAGAAATATGTGTTATGCAGGGAGGCAAATCAGATTGAATGTGATGTAGCAGGCAAAATTTTTAAATGGTGTTCATCCAGTTATCATTTGAATGAGGGTGGGTGGGTAGAAGGATAAAAAAAAAATCACTGTTAGTGTTTCTTTTCTTAAGGAAAAAAGATGTGAATCCCAGCCTTATTTCAGGGAAGCCTTTGAAGCTATGATGGACATAAGTCTAAATGTATGTATGTTTCATTATATTGCTCTTAAGACTACTGAGGTGGCAGTTTAATTCTTAAAAACAATAAAATGGAAGCATAAATACTATTTTGCCTAAATGAGTTTTTACCTAATGATGACACATTTGGGAGAATGCAGTTTTCTTGTTTATGTTGATACAACCTTTACAGTAAAATTAGATTCAGTGTTTTGGAGATTAAAACCAAGTTGAATGTTAAATTTCTTCAGTGGCATGCTTGTTCAGAGTATCATATAGTATTTGGGGAAATAGTTGCAAAGACCATAAGAAATAACTTTTTATCCATTTTGCCCTGTAAAAACCACTGGCTTAAAATTATTGTGTAAATACTAACTAGATACCACTGAAATATAAATTGAAATGATATTCGAACATATTTTTAAACTCACAGTAAGTAAACTTACTGTGTGAAGTATACAGAGCTACTTTAGGCTTTGTTCTAATATATTGGAAGAGTATGTTTCATACACCTTTTTGAAAAAGCCCTGTAGTCCTATCTGTCAAAATTTTGTGAAAGTCCTATTATAAGTACATAGGAAAAACTCATGTACCCAAAACAAAAATATACTTTGAAAAATTTTTATTAGATTATCCATCAAATTGGTATATTGATGTTAATTGAAATTTGACATAATCATATTCAAACATTTTCTGAAGTAGATTTTTCACTGGTTTGTAATTGTAATCTCTTAAATTGTGGGCTTGAAACCAAGAAGAATTTACTTACTGCAGTTTATGCACAATCTAACAAAGCAATATGGAATATACTAGGCTGAAAGGAGAGAGGTAAACCAGTTAAGATACTTGGTATTGATACTAATAAAAACATTTGGATTTTCAAATATTTTTTGTTTTGATATGCCATGCCCCTTTAATTTCCCATCATTGAGGGGAAAAGTGTTAAGGCAGAATTCTTAAACATTTCAGTATTGACGTTTTATTTTCCCATCTCCTTATCTTTAAGAATTACAAATTTTTAGGCATAATGGAATCACAGGATTGAAATGAATGATAATAGGTTTTGGGTTTAGCTCTCACAGGAGCATGTGATACAGGACCATGTCTTAAAAAATCTAGCACTTCAAAATGCTAATCTACTCTGACCTCAGAATATCTCATTTCTATTCTAAGTAGTTGTAAGCACCAAGTTTCATGTTGCATTTAAGCCCATTTCTTATTAATCTACCTTTAATATTGTTCGCCCTTTGCTTGCCTTCAGATTGAAAAATCCTGCTCTCTTAGTTTTCTTCCAAAGTATTACTTTCAAAATCTTTAATTTTTTGTTTTAAAATTTGTACTCATTTCAGTTACACAGTAATACTTCTTTTGGGAAAAAAAATGTAATATTGCAAATAAAGCTAAAGATCCCCTTGATTGACCACTAATGACTATTTCCCTTCCAGAGATAAGTACTATTATAACTTTGGTGTGAATATCTATCTTATCATTTTAGGTACAGAGCTGACAACTCAATAGGCTCCATGTCCTGGTTAAGCATCCTAATCCATGATAAATGTAGTATTTCATGATCTTTACTCAATGAATTACACTGAGCACTTACTATGTGGCATATAAAGATCATTCATTCATTCATTCATTCAGGCATTTTTGTACTAGACACCATTCTAAGCACTTTGGGTGCATAAATCTTTAGAGACAAGATCAACAACTTTCATTATATGTGTTGTAAAATCGTATGGAATAAAAAAATATTAATTGGGTGGTGGTAGGTTTGCAACTAAATAGAGTGGTTTGGGTAGAACTCATTGAAAAGACATTTGAGCACGATTTCAAGTAGGTGATCCTTGGCCATGTAGATAACATGGGGCAGGACTTTCCAAGCAGTGGACACAATGTAAGGGCCTTAAAGGGGGATTGCACCTGGCATATTTGAAGAACAGTAAGGAGATTGGGGTGGAATGAGTGAGATGAGTAGTAACAGGAGATCAGAGAGGTAATAACACAAAGAATGGGGAAATAGGTTTTCTGGGCCATCGTAAAACTTTGACCTTACTCTGACATGGGAAGACATTGTGGGGATCTGAGCACAGGAGTGAAATGATCTATCTCTTTTAAAAGGATTATTCTGGCTGTGAGCCAAAGGAAGATGATGGAGGCAAAGATAGACCAGTCAGGTTGCTTTAATAATTTACACAAGACTAGCATTATAAGATCAAGAAGTGGGTGACTTGTAGAAGGATATATATGTATATATATACACACATATAAAAAATACATATAAATAAGAAAGATATAGGCATAATAAATTTGTATATGTAAATTAAGCACTTTTACTATTTACTGGGCATGGATATATAATAATGAACAAAATAGATATGGTCCCTGCCCTTTAGCAGCTTACATTCTAACTTACCTAGGAATTATCCATGGTAGTCAACCGTAAATTTTTCTCAAAAAAATTTCTTATATTCTTTTTCAAAGTGTAGTGGCCAGGAAAAAAATATTACATTTAAAAAATGTGTTACCAAAATATACATAAACAACTGTAATGAGAGAGAAGTATTAAATTTATTTGATTCTGGACATTAATAATGTATTTCCTGATAGCTTTTCTAGGTACATTTGCTTGTACAATGCTAAATTAGTGACTTTGGAACAAATGTGTACAATGTGTCTAGATTGTTCCTGAATTTAGTTCTCCCTTGTGTTACATCAGTTTTTAGACAGGTTTTAATTTTGGGGGGGAGGTAATATTTTCTATTGGTTAAAAGTCTGGGCTCTGGAGTCAGACCGGACTGAATTCTGGCTGTACTACTTGCAACTATATAACTTAGACTAATTACATATCCTCTTTGAGTCTTGATTTATTTTGCTTTTCTAAAAAGGGATAAACATAGTACCTACCTTATGGGGCTATATTGAGAATCAAATAAATCGATTCTAGATATACTTTAAAAGTAGAGCCAATAGAATTTTCTGACATTTTTCAGCCTGAGCATCCCGAAGGATGATATTGGCATTAACTGAGATAGAAAAGATACTGGAAGAGCAAGGTGAGAAGATCAATGGGCCAGTTTTGATGTGTATATGTCCAGATGAAGATGGCAGAGAAATGCATTAAATATTACTCTTCTTTGTTCTTGTTTATACAGTGTAAAGTAAGCTTGCATTTTAAAACATTTCATTTAAATTTCTAAGTGGTAAGTTACTGTGTTTAGACAAGATATCAAATGCTTAAATAATTATTAGATAATGATTTTAAAGGTAAACTTTTCAACATGTATTAGCTTCAACATTTCTTAAGTTCAGTAGTGTATCTGTTCACAAGTTGTTCTTTCTCCCATTTGCATTGCTGGCTATGCTCTCCCTTTCCATCTTGCTCTGGTTTACATAAGCTTAATTTTTATCTTCCAACATGATCTCTTGGCCTCTTCCTAATTCAGGGATTTGATTTTGGTATTAGTAAACTTCCAGTATTTACTCTTAGGCAGGCAAGTATTCTCCATGTATTCCCATGACCCAAAGCATATTCACCTTAGAGACCTTGGAGAAAAAAACATTTAAGGATGAGGATAAGTGAACCTCTAAGATGTTAAGGTCGAACGGATAGTGATGGGGGTATGATAACTGGATTACTTGTCTCACTCTATGATATTTTGTTTGTCAAGAAGAATATAGAGGGCATGTTTGGGAAGATGCAGGCATCAGTGACAATCCTATATAAGGTTTTTGCCCCACTCTCAAGCAAAATGCTCAATTAAATAGACATGTTTTTATTTCTTTCCCCTGCCTTCTATAAAGGATGAGCTCTTAACCTGAGATTCACAGGGCATCATATATAAATGTATATATGTATGTATTTTTTACCCCTAAAGTCCATAGGGTGCATAAGGTGTGACTCAAAAAGTTTAAGAAACATTTCTATAAAGAGTGTTGATTTTCTAGTTTTTAATTAAATGTAGCTATGTAAACAAACCTTTGTTTTACCTGTCTGCAATTGGTTTTAAAGTCCAATAGGCAAGCCCTACCAGTAAAATGATAATAAAGGATGGAAGGTACTTTGACAATAAATGTTTAGAGGTAGATCTAAAACGATTGGGACATTTCCCCTTGACAAAGCAGTTTGATGTTGAACAGAGGACATTGAATCTTTTTCTGTTGGCACCAATGTTTAATTACATAAAATAAATACAAATTTGTACCAAGAACAGTGTTAGTGAAAAAGAGAAACGTGCGCTGAATGTCTAAATTGAGCTTTAGAGCTGTTATTCTGCCCTTTGAGTTACAAATAATGACCAGAGAGAGTGAGGAGTAAAACTTTCTCCTACCATTTTTTCTTTCCTCCCAATAAGACCAGGAAGTACCGGTTACCCATCATGTTTTCTCTTTTCTTTTCACCTTCTTACCTTTTCAGTTTATATCTTCCATCAGCTTATGCAATTTTCATACCAAGAGGTGGAAACAAATGAGGATTTGATTCAAAAGCTAGCTGTAGAAGGATTGTGTTGAAATCTGGATAGGATGCTGGGTATTACAAAAAGCTATAGTGAAAATCATACAATCTGGGCAAAGCAGTCTCATTGCAGAGGGGTTAGCAGCTTCTCATGTAGCACATTTTCAGCCAGAACACTATAAGGGGGACTCGCAGCAAGCACGTTTCAGAAAGGAAACAAGAAATTTACCAAAACAAGACATATCTACTGTACAACTGAATTTTTTTTAAAAGTGGAGATATATTAGTATGAGCAGTATAAATTACAAGATTCAAAGCAATGGTGAAAATATACTGTAAAACATGCACAAAGGAAGTGACTTGGATGGAAACTTGTGCTATAAAAATACATATAAAAAATTCTTCCTTTGATAAATCTACAAGTTATAAAATTAAGAGTATTTCCATAATTTTATACTATATATGTGAAAAATATACCATGTTAGAACAATCTCATTCCAAAGTTTGAAACATAATCCTGTCAAATAAAAATCTTCATACAAAGTATGATATCAATAACTTCCTGGGTATAAAGTTGTTCTGTATGTGACAGTCAGATGAGGACCCCTCTGATTTATATTTTGATCAGAATTTTGTTTCTACTGGTACCTGGAAGAAGACAGAAAGTTCTTGTTTTAAAAAACTTGTTAAGTTCTATCCCTTTCAATAATCATATCTTGTATTTAAAAAGAGTTGTGGTCAATCTGATTAAAATTAAGAGCTAGAATTTGCCAGTCATCAATAAAATTTTTGTCTTGAATTTTAATAATTGAATACCTTCCATTGCTACTTGGTTAACATGGAACCATGTAATACCACGTCACAATATAAGTATCTTTTGAAGGCCTAATTTAACTTAAAATAACAGTACAATGTGTTGTAACAGTATATTTCTTCACATGTTTTAGGGGCCACACAAGTTCCAAGGGGCTGTGTGTGCTGGACGGACACATTTAGCTTTTACAGAAGTCACCACTGGTGGCCTATCCATGATTGCTGATTTCTTTTCCTCTAAGTAATGCAAGGAGCTGGTGTTAAATGTTTCTTTTTATTAATTTGGGGAAACAGGTACAGGATGGTGTTGACTACATTTTGTTAGACAGTTGGTTCTAAAGCTATGGTCAGACATTTGGTTTAAATTCTGCTCCTATATTTTATCCTCTAAAACTTGGTGACAATTCTGAATCCAACTACTGAGCATAGGGTTTCTGGTAGGACCCACTGTACAGGGGGCTCAGGCAAAGTGCTAGGTTTGGTTTCCCTGGCTTTCCTCTCACCTCAACTCTTAATAATGGTCCAAACTTATATACGTTTTTTACTTTTTCTTCCTCTCTCCCTTCCTTCCTTCCTTCCTTCCTTCCTTCCTTCCTTACAATGGCCCAGTTTTATTTTTGCAAGCTGTTTTTATACTAGTGGGCATAAGCAGTTTCCCTAGTCATAACAACACTTTCTTCTACTTTTCCCAAGGATCTTCTCATGGCCTTCAGCTTGTTTGCTTGCTTGCGGCTATGTTTATATTTTCTTGATCTTGGAAGGAGTTTGCTGAGGTGAGGCAACCCTTGGTTGACCTCAAAGATTGCAAGAACCTTGTCAGCTTACAATCCCTTATTTTTTATTTATTTTTTTTACGCCTAAAGCACCTGGTCTTCCTAGGTGGTCTCCCATCCAAGTACTAACCAGGCCCGACCCTGCTTAGCTTCTGAGATCAGACGGGATTGGGCTTGTTCTGGGTAGCATGGCTGTAGACTACATTTCTTTCTTTCTAATCTAAATTCCTTTTGCTATTCTTAGACCCTTCTTCAAATAAGAGAAATACCACCAGTCACCTCCCATACTTGAAGACAATCATTATATTCTTTCTCAGGAACCCCATTTCATCAAAGAATAGAGCTGGTAGTGAACAGAGCACAGGTCTTGGCATTAGATAGATCTTAGTTCAAATCCTGTTGAACTAAGTGTGTGACCTTAAGCAAATCAATTAAGCTCTTTGAGCCCTTTCTAATTATCTCATTTGTGAAATGAGATCTTCTTTGCATATTGTTGTAAGGACTGAGATAATGAATGCAATGCACCTATTGTGTACCTGGCCTACAGCAAATACCCATTTTGTGGTTTTGCTTTTCCCAAACTCTAGACATTCCTTAAAGGACTGAATATTCTAAAAGTGAATGTTCTAGAATGAAATGGGACTATCTAGTTAAATGATGATTTGGCAACCTTTTCTAGTAAGAAACTTAATTTTTATTGCTGAGCTAGGCACTATGCTAAGAACTTCCCATGCACCCAGGACTCAGGAGGTATATATTAGCTTCTCAGATCCATCACTAATTCATCTATAAGTAGAAATAGCAATACTTTTTCTACTTCATGGATTATTACAGGACCAGAATAAGATCTTGGTTATACTTGGTTACACTGTATATGCTCAATATTGCATTAATAGAGACCTAGTATCACTATTTTCCATCCTTTTGGTCCCGGTCTGAGTTTATTTCCCCCGCAAGTTTCTATGAGATTGTCATTGCTTCAGTTGTCTGGGGATGAGGCACAAAGGTTCAAACAAGTTCCGGAATTGCTGCAGTGAGCTGGAAGAGGCCTCACTACCTTCAGGTCTTTGTTGTGATGAATAAAGATAAACCTGTTGAAGAATCTTACCTGGGGGAGGGGAGAGGAGGGAGGTAGATGGGGTAAAAGGGGTCAAATACGTGGTGACAGAAAGAAATCTAACCATGGGAGGAGAACACACAATGCAATATATATATGCCTTACTGTTAAACTGTACACCTGAAACATACTGGACTTCATTAACCAATGTCACCAAAGACAAAAATTTAAAAATAAATAAATAAATAAAATTTTTTTATATATATAAAAAGAATCTTACCTTACATTCCCTATTACGTAATCCTCCATTTGTATCTGGGGTAAAATCAAACTTCATTTCTTTTACCTGAGAAAACCAGAATGGGACATTTTTTTTAATGTTGAAAAATAAAGGGAAATTTAACAAGTAAAGATAATTGGTTATATAGATGTGAAAGTCACCAAAAAGCTAGTACCTGACTGGAATTAAACTTTGAAGTACTATAATCCTTTTTCATCAAAACATGCAAAACAGCATCATGGATTGTTAAGAAAAATATCGAGTCCTTGACTTCATCATCAAAAAATTCACACTGTGTCAGCTTCTCAATGAAATCATCTAAAGAGAGAAAAGAAAGAATAATAGGTAGAAAGAAGTAATTGTTTGGATGCAGATTTCTCCTTGAGGCTGGAAATTTGAAATCTCTTTTGCAAATGTTCATTTCATTGATCTCTGGTAAAGTGTTTGGGGTTTGCAATGGTACAATATCAATGTACCATTAGCACAGTGTCTTCTGGAACCAGAGGATAATATTTTCTAATAAAAGTATACATTTAATGCCCTAAACGAAAAAGATTGAAGGAAAAGGTTCAAATGAGAAAAACTTTTAGTAGTTCCAGAGCCTAGATGAGAAATAATAAAGGTCTGGATTAAGGTTGTGGAACTAGAGAGGAAGAGACCGATTTCAATAGGAGATATCTATAGGTGACTCTCTGAATATAGAGGGAAAAGGAGAAGGGGAAATTAAAGATGGTGCTAGGGTTTCTACTTTGGGCAACTGGGTGAGTAGTGATGGAGTGATTGAGATAGAAAAAGGAGAAAGGATCATATATTTAGTTTTGAGCATGTGTATCTGAGGTGCCTGGAGGACATCCAGAGGGTTGAATATATGGGTCTGTGGCTCAGAAGAGAGGTCTGGGCTGTAGGTATAGTTTGAGAATTCATGAACAAGATACGCTTGCAGTCATAAGCATATAGAAGATTGACTAGAAAGGGTCCCTGGAATTAGAACTAAAGGGTTTAAGGGCAAAGCCTGGGAAAGATTGTAAAGAGTGGGAGAGGAGCCAATATTAGACACTGAGGAGCTATGAGACTGGCGGGAGATGTATCTGAAGAATGGTCTTGCAGAAGTGAGGGAGAGAGAGTTTCAAAGACAAAAGTTAAAGAAAGGGCCAAATGCTTAAGTAAGCTTCGTGAGACTGAGGCTCAGGTGGAGGCAGTTGATCCGGACAATCTGGATGACCTTGGCAAGGGCTGCCTCATCAGCAAGGTGAAACAGAAACCAAGTTATCATGGGCTAAGAAATTCTGGGAGGCAAAGAAGAGAGAAAACAAGCCTACTTTTTCAGGAAGATTAGAGTAAAAACTGGTTACATATTTACACTTTTGCAACCTATTAAACTAGGATTCAAATTGTAAAGTTGATGAGTTACATATTGACACAACTAAAATATAAAGATGCTATTTCCTTAGGGATTTCTATCAGCTCAGCTACAGATTAGATTTCTTTCTTGGTGATCATGATAAAACAGTTGTTCTTTGAAGGACTGTCTAGATTGAGAGTTGGCAATGAGCCTGAAGTGATTGTCAGAATATAAAAATAAAACAACTTACCATCAGTTCCAACAATATACACGTCTACCTTGATCCTGATAAATTCTTTCAAAATCTATTAAAAAGAAAGTAGATTTTCCTTAGGGACCAGTTTCACTTGTCAGAACTTAAAGAAAACCATCATAATTTTGCCTTATGGGTTACATATTGCTTTTAGAACCTTTTACATTTTGAAAAGAGATAATAGTATAAGGAAACACTAAAATTAAAAACAAGACTCTATGACAGAAAGAAATAAATCCAAAGGAAAGAACTCTCTTCATCAGGAAGAAGTTAAAAGTGATAACTCTTGTGGGAAGTATGATGAGAAAATGTTCTGCCTCTACTCAAAAGATCAACTGATGTTATTTTAAATTTAAGAGAGAAACAAAGGAGTCTTCCCACTTCACCATGTTGCCGACGTCACTCCCTAATTTTAAAAGTTGTTTTTTCCTATGGGATGATCTTGAGTAGAGCTTTCTACATACATAAACATAAAAAAACAAAAAACAAAAAAAACAAAAAACCTCCCCTATGACCCATAAGTTGTTCATTATTCCTGTCCACAGTGACTGGATATATCTAGTACCAACAGATATTTATCTAATTTCCTGGTCTTTAGGCTAAGAACAAATACCAGTAGTGATATATCATTGAGGTCATATAAGGTAAGAAAAGTAGCTTATATTATTGACTGATTTAGACGATCATTAGTATCATTAGAACCTCTATGAGGCATTGAACTAAAAATTAGGACTTTAAAGAAATATAAGGCAGTCCCTGCCTGTCCTTTGTATTACACTACTAGGATAGAAAAAATAAGTTGTGTGTGTGTGTGTGTGTGTGTGTGTGTGTGTGTTTTCCTCTAAAGCTAAAACAAACAAAGAAGCACAAAAACAAAAAAAGAAAGAAAAGGAAAAGCAAGCAATCTTGAGAGTTATGTGATGTTAAAAAATTTTAAAAGATGTTTCAAAGAAATGAATTGATCCCATTTTCTAATTTTGTATTCAGTTCACCCACACTTAATAGGTCTTATCTTAGCTCTGTTCTTATATAGGTAGATTTCTGTGCAAAACCAAGCAAAAGAGAGGGAAATGTGGAATTTCTTAAATTTTACTTACATCTGTTTCTGCATTTCTGTTAGAAACTAATTTACTTTAGAAATCTTGACAAAACCGTGGAAAGGAAAGAATGCAACTGGACCATTCAGTCCTGTTTTTAAATCACATGTGATATTTATTCTTTCATATCTCTCTCCTTTTTCTTTCTTTTTGAAACATTGTTATATAGCTAAGCAGAATTTCATCAGCTTATAATGGCTGAGGATAAAAACAAAAGGACTCAGCATTTCACTTTTTTTCTCAAGACCTTTCCAAGTCTTCTCTATTTTAAGACAATTTAGTTATAATGTTCACAAGGATTTGAAGGCACCTCAGCATTGAAATTCGATAGGAGTGTGAGCAGAGTTGCCTACTAACAGGTTCAGCATACATTAGAAATGTAGAGTTGGTTGCCTTCAAAATTTTATGTCAGTCTTATGGGAAATGCACTTTTAAAGAGTTTACTAAACATGTCCCACTTGCACTCCCACTCCCTCCATGCAATATTCTACGATTATAATTTACTTCGAATTAAGTGTGTATTATCTAAAGAAGCATCCTTCCACAAATACATGCATTCACCTTTAGTTATTGATTGGTTGTTTCTGTTAAGAAAGAAGAAATTACCGTTTTGAGACCCCTCATTGAAGAAATGTCAAGAAACGACACTGCTGAGAAATCAAGAATAAGGCTATGCAGGCTAATTTTAGGGACCGCAACGGTGAGAGGAAGATCAGCATTCCAGTCTATCTGGAAGGGCAGGTCCGCTGTATCAACTGGCTGATCCAGCTCTTCTATTTGATTGTTGTCCAGCTCTTCATCGGAATCTTTCAAGCCATTATCGGTACATATAACTCCTTTCTGTAAGAGAGGATAATAATATACATGATAACTCCAGGTGAGAAATACATTGTGTGTGTCAAGGGTAACCAGTGACTTTCTGAAGCCCAGATTCAAAGCTGGGTAAAGCAAATGAGATCGTAAACTCTTTTCTTTGGAGAATGAAAATTGTCTCAGGGGAATAAAAAATATAAGGATACCATCGAAAATGCTGTTTAGAAATATGACATTAATTGACATATGAAATAATACTTTGTTTATCTGGCATTTTATTTAAAGGAATGGAACCAACATCTTGAACTACATTTTTCTAAGCTTTTAGCTATAACACACAGAAATTTGGTCAAGAAACTTACTGGTGTCACTAGTAGCAGGCCTGCCTTCTGTAGTTTTCGGATTTTCTTCACAGCTTTGTTGCGCTTGCGTAGAATTCGAAGTGGACAAAAGCCGACCTAAAAAATCCATTGCTGTGTTATAAGAGTACTGCATATTCTGCTACTTATATAGCACAATTCTAATAACCTTAAGTGGGATTGGTTGAGGGATTGAGGCACGTAATGAAAATATTTGTAATAAAATGTAAGAAGTTCAAACATCAGCAAGAGCATTGTGAGACTTGTTGTTTGCTCAGCCTGTATACAGTTATCAACATTTGAAAACCTCAGTATTATCCAGGATTTATCCATAAATTATCTGTGAATGGATCAAAACTCTATTTGAATCTGTTTGTGTTTTTGGCCTATACAACACTTAGGGGATTTTATTTTATTTATTTTCTATTTGTTGAATACAGGTGGCATAATTAGTATTCTGTTTCTATATAATTTTATTCTGTTAAAATGTATATGATTATATTTTATAATATCTATTATGTGATTTTATTTAATAATTTTAGTATTAGATTTGAGAATAACCCTTATTTTCCCCTTTTCAAAACAAATGCATTGCTATTATGGCAATATTTAGATCCAGAATAATAACTAAAGAGGATCGAAAGATAGTAGAGTAACCGAAAAGGAAAGTATATAAAGCCATATGTATCATATGAACCCATTATTATAAAAAAAATTGGGTAGAAATACATCTGATGCATACCAAACTAATAATAATATGGTAGGGCTTTAAGGCAGAAGCTCTATGCACAGTACAGAGTAGACCAAAAGGCAGATTCAAGAGTAACTACTGAGCATTTGTTTTTTAACCTTAAAAACTGCTTCTTTATCATCTTCTCTCCAGCCCATCAGGAGCGCTCAGTTGTTATTTCATGTTAAGTATTCATTTATGTTACATTTATTTACTTTATTTGTATTATAAATATTTATTTGCTATTCTAAATCTCTTCAATATTCAGGATAGCAAACAAATATGCAATCAAATATTAAATACTCTTGTTTTTTCTGAAGTTGATTCCCCCCAGAAATCTGTAGGATACTATCTATTAAAAACAAGCAGCCCCAAATCTTGTGGTAATTTTTTTACTCTACAGCAAAATTTAATAAAAGGTGACTATCTATTGGACATCATCTGAAGAGTCTTATTTCCCAACATAATAAAGGATCCCCTTTAAGGTAGCTTCACCTGCTCTGGGACATGGGCTACAGAAACACTAACACAACTCAACCTCCACATCAGTGAAATCAATTCATTTCTAGATATTCAGTAGAATTACAAACAATTAATAACCCTGAAACTTACAGCATCAATAAGTTTCTGTTTAAAGAAATTAATGTTTGCAAAGTAAATAGGAGATGGACATCTGAAAATTTTCACTCCTTCCATTTCATACATCTGTAAGGGAGAGATGTAATATTAGATGGTGCCCATTAGATTCATATTAATATCATTTAGCAAGTCAAAGTAAAAAAAAATGAATCTTCCTTACATCAGAGTAATCTTTTTTATTCTTATAGATGTTGCTCCTTCCAACATTAGCCAGTGTGCTGCACTTTGGACTGTAGAGAAAATCAGCACCAGGTGAATCATTCATGCATATAAGGCTACCACTGATGTTTTCCTAGCACACCAAAGCTCACTTTTTCAAGGCTGGAGATTCATCATGCCATCAGAGACCTTGGAGGGCAAATATCTTGTTTTACTTATCCTCCCATAACTCCTAGAACATTGCCTCCCATTTACCATATTCCAGTTTACAAAGTGCTTCCATATGCTTGTGCCGTTTTAATTCACAGTTATTTGGTGAAAAAAGGCAGATATGATTACCTAGTTGTATAGATGTGGACATGGAGAAGTATAATGATTTGCCTATGACCACTCAGTTTGTGTCTATGTTTGATGGGTCTCCAAGAAATTAGTAAAGATGTAAATGAATAAATGAGTGCAGGAACATTGCAGTATAAATGTATTCCATCAGTCAAGGATTAACTATATGATGACACTTTCTGTTCTAGAATTCCTTAGCTCCCATGAAGCCTTATTTCTCTGTCACACATGTAATCCAACATTGGCTGAGTGACCACATGGTGGTAACATTATAGTCAGAGACTTAAGAATCAAAAAAGATGTTTGGACTAGATGACTGTTAAGAATTTGAAGTGGCATTTGTAGAATTCTAGGATGAGAGGCGCCCTTTGAGAAATTCTTTTAATTCGACTTCATGCTTTTTAGGTGGGAGTACAATCTAATAACCTATAAATAGGAATAGCCTCCACTAGACATGAAGAATCCCACAATATTCTCAGTTACAAAGACACTGAACCTGCTCAGAATATAATTACTTCCAGTTTACAGTTGGACAAACAGACTAATAGAGTTACATGATTTCTCTGAATTGGAGTTTAAGCAGGGAGCAGACTAATGACAAGTGGGACCTGGGCTGATGCTCTAAATTTGGGCTATTCTGTTGTTGTTCAGGCCTTGGGGTGAGCAATCTGAGGAGAATAGACTGGCCAATCTTGATGGATTTGCATGCTGCCTATTAATTAAACTACTTTTCCCTGGACCAATGACAAACTTTTTCTTTCCAACACTGACAGATCAAAGTCTGTGAGGATGCAGAGCATGACAAGCACTCACAATTGGGTCCTAAACACAATGGTCAGGAGCTGAAATGCCACGCTAGCTGCCAAGCCTAAACCGAGTCCCAGGACAATGACAAAGATGAAGGTCATGATCCAAATTACCTGCAAAAAGAAGGCAACACATACACTACAAATGACTCTGATTCAAGTACAACGTCTTAGGTCCAGAGCTATGAGAGAGCATGAATTTCTAAGGACAACAGTGGAGGTTGGAAATGTACAGGAAAAGGGACCTGCCTCTAGACGTCATTTCTCAGGGTCTGAACAACAGAAACACAAGCAAATATTTAAAAAAATCCAGAGAGAGCGTATCCATTGCTAATCCCATCCCTGAACCAGTTAATGAGTTGATTGAGTCCGTCACAGCTAAAATTCCAGAACCAGCTGCTGTTCATTAAAATTAGCAAATTAGTTGGTAGAGCTGACACTAATCTCTTACTTTTGGTCTGCTGATTTCATTAATGGCTATGATCACTATAAGAATTTTAGCATGCCAAAGGGCTGTGAAAATCCCCAATGATGATCTAGCATGAACTAAAATAAACCAAGTGTACTTTATTACTTTATGCTTGTAAAATCCCATAGGCTATATTAAGCATTTTTATGCCATAGACTTTAACCCTGATATAATTATGGATTCTGTCTCTTATACCAAGGCATACTGAGAGCAAGGGGAGCCTTTATATAATCTTTCCAAAAGAAATGTTCAGAATTTAAGTTTTTCACAGATTCTATAGTAACTAATATATGATGTCATGAAGTACAGAACCAATATATACCTTGAACTTCAGAGAATTTCTGTGGCATTTGGGATGACTGCAAATATTTTTAGAACAGATCTAAGGAAGTTCTCTACTAGTGTTTCCTGGAGCATTTCCTACTTGCAAGTAGTTCATGCTTTTAAATTAAAATCCCAGAGAATGCAAATAAAATAAACTAAAGTTATTTTAACATATAAATAGAAACAAAATTTTTGCAGTTTGGAATATAAATATGCATTTTATATCTGTATTAAAATGCTGTTCCTGATTTCCCTCTCAAATACCATTGCTTCTACTCACACAATCATACTTATCCTTTCTCCACAACCTTCGTATTTCCGTGAACTGCATCAGCATTCCCTTTAAGTTTCCAAGTGCTAAAGCTGCCAGGACAGACTGTGAAAAACATAAACAGCAGATGTACTTTAAGATAACCAAATAAGCTATATAGAAGCAAAGGTGAAGGTTGTAGATAAGTGAGTCCTTTAAAGGGCTTCAAAGCAAAGGGTACACCCTTTTCAGATGTGCGATGCCATGCAAAACACACCAGCCCTGGGACTCTGACCTGTCTCCATGCATGATTTTGTCCCCACCGCAGTGACAATGACATGCCATAGATGATCTGATGGCACGTACTAGCCTATACTTTAGGAGAGAGAAAAGCAGATCTTAAGACCTATGATGGAAATAAATTCTTCTCAGAGACAGTCTAATGTGTATCTATTTATTGGAGGTAGGGGAGGGAGTTGATCTTTTATTTAAAAAAATGTTTGGAGAACTTCGGGTCCTGGAATCAGAATTCGAAACTTTGACGATGCTCAGCAATCATGCCATCTAGAAAGAGGAAGCTGCAGATGACAGCGAGGTTAACAAAGATTTGAGGCAGACTCTCTGGGACAGAGTGAACCATATCTGTTATGTTCCCTGCTATGTCCCCAGAATTGACCATGGTAAATTATAGGAGGCGCTCAATGATTATTGAATGAATGAGTGGATGAGCTAATGAATTAGTATTTCCCAAACCAATACTCACCACCCAGGAACACAGCCTCTTTTAAGAAGCCCTGATGTTGATACCACTAAATAGTAGATTCACTAAGAAGTCTGAGTGGAAAACTCAGCTCTGCCACACCAACATTTCAGGCTGCTGACTCTTCACATGCCCAAATGAAATCATTTGTCTTACAGGAATGATGACAATTAAGGCGAAAAATGCTGACTAGTCAAGTACGCACCCTTTTTTATTTGGATTTTAACACAATGGTAGGAACGTTCCCCAAGCCCCCGCCCTCAATTCAAGCTGTTTCATTACAAATGGACTATGGAATTTGTATACTGATTACTTTCATACCATAAAATCACTGTGTACAAAGAAAAATCAAACATATTTTTATTTTCGTATTTCAGAGATAGTTTAACTGATCTGAACATTTTTGATTTTCACAAGTAATATTTACAATTTAATATCTAACCAATTTTACTCACTGTGAAAATAGAGGTCATTGTTTAGAAGACTACATATAGTCTTAAGTGACTTTAAAAAGAAAATTGCACACAAATAAATGCCAGTTAAAAAATGGTGAAACTGAAACAAGTCTGTAATCTATTTAACAGGACTGTATCAATGTCGATGTACTGGTTTTGATACTGGACTATAGCTATATAAGATGTCATCACCATGATAGCTGGGGGAGGGGTTCTTAGAACTCTCTACAGTAAGCCTTTTGCTTTGGAGGACTTTAGTATAAAACATGTCAAGTGCCACCTGCAAAAGAGACATATTTTTCTTTTCACTGGGCATTGTTTCCCACCTGATCTGTATTCCATGGAAAAATAATTTGAAACTATTTATAATGAAACACATACACAATAGAACTCTTTAAAAAATAAAGATTACAGAGCATCGAGAAACCGTAAATAGGAAAAGGAGGATCATTTTACCAAGAACCTGGTATCCACACTGTAATTGATCTAAAGAATTAAATACATATAAAAATGCTTAGAACTCTGCTTAGTGAGCACCAAAGTAACATTCATTATTAGCTATCATTATGGATGATTTTGCCTTCCTATGATAAAAAGAAGCAAACCAGCTATTCAGGTGAAACAAGCGTATTACTGACACAATGGTTTAAGAAGAGCTTGTCATGTGAATCCTAAAGAAAGGGTTTTGATTAACATCCTGGACCATGTCCTTGGGTGTTGTTTATTCATAAGAAAGAGAGGATTTTATTTGGTTTCTCCAAGTTGATGTGGGTGAGGGAGAGCACAAGTATACACCTGGAAGAAGCACAATAGGGCAGAATTCTCTACCAGGGGGGTTGTGTGTGCATTTGTTTTTATTGACACATATATTCTTCTGTTTCTTTGGGGGTGACTTCTCGACTCCTTTAATGCCATTCCTTTGGAAATTAGGAGGTTGGCATGTGGAGAACTTATATTTTTGGCCAACAGTACTTATCACTGCTTGAAAATGGATTGGGCCATGGAGGCTCTTTGGGATAACTGCCCTGGGAATCCAGAAACCTGAGACCAAAATCACATTTCAGCTACCAACCAAAAAGAAAAAAAGGCCTAGATATAAATTTTGGCTGGCCATGTTATATCTCTATGTTCTTTGTAGTCAGAAGTATGATAGAATGTTTGTAGAATAGTAATGATAACAGTATTAACAATGGTTGTCATTTATTAAATGTTTATCATGTGCCACACCTTAGACTACATACTTCACGTGCCGTATTTTATTTAATTTTTGTAGCAACTCTGTGAGGTGGATGCTATTTCCTTCCCATTTTACAAATGGGTAACTTGAGGATGAGAAAAGTTAAGTAATTTGCCAAGAGCACACAGATAATAAGTGGCAAAGCCAGGGGTAGAAGCAGGTCTACAGGACTCTAGAGCCAGTGCTCCACACACTACCTCACAATCATATTAAAACCACAAACAACAATGTATTTACCATTGTCTGGTTTCTGAGAGCTCCCATGTTTTCCAGAGTCTCCTGTTATATTTTTCATCTGGGTGCTGCAGCCATTTACAAAGCATTCACCTAGACCCTCAAAAATTACAGTTGAGGAGAGCTGGAGCATGAAGGTGAAGGTGCAAAGTCTGTGTCTGGCTGCGTGTTCCCATTTTGTAATCTAACAGCTTTGGTCTTGGCGTCAAACCAAATTCTGGGAGCTGCAGGGCGGATTTCTAAGAGCAGGTTATGTGACTGGTAGCACCACTCTCTGACTTAGATAGAGGCCCCAATTACCTCATGATTTAAGAAAATCTTCACTTCAGTCAATTGAAACCTCAGTGCCAGGGTGTCTTTCTATCTAAACATTAATTATATTCCAGGCTATGAGCATGAGAAAGGTAGAATAGATAAGGTTGTTTGGGCATGTGCATTCCTAACATTCATAAAATGCTAGCAGGTGAAAAATAAATATTTTTGGCCCATAGAGTATTGGCTAAGAAGAGTATTCGAGAGTTTGAAGTAACCTCATTTTCCCATTTGGTTTGTGTTTCCAGAGTTTAGGAACCAGGGTCCTTGATTCACCACCCAAAGGAGAGAGATAGTATCTAAAGAGAGAGAGCTGTCACCTTTTGTAGCGGCTCTAGAAGAAATCCGATGGATAAAATGACAATCAGCACAATGATGGCAGAGAGAATCCCAGCAATCTGCAAATTTGAAAAATTCTCATCACAACCTCAACTTTTCCTCTGTCCTACATTCCCCAGCGACTAACACTAGGATGGCTATCTCAGCAATGATCCTGAAATACCTGTGTTTTGCCTCCAGTACTCTCCTGAATCGCCGATCTGGAGATGGCGGTACTCGAGGCAAATCCTTGAAATGATCCAGTGAATATGTTACACAATCCCAAAGCTATTAACTCCTGACAAGGGAACAAGGAGGAATCTTTTTTTAGGAGCGGCACCATTGATATTATATACATAAAATATCATTTAAAGTTGCCGAATTAGGCCCAGTGTAGGTTTTTAACTTACCTGATTGCCATCAATTGTATAATCGTATTTGAGGGAATAGACACTGGCGACTGAAAAGGCCACAGTGAAACCAACGATCGCAATGCTGATGCTATCTGCGATGATCTCTCTGAAAATCTGCATGTCAGGTGTAATAGGGGGCTGAAATCTGAAATTGAAATAAAGCCCGTCTGAATGTCACGATTTGCTTATACATCTTCAATGGCAACCATTTGCTCTCAGGAGAGGTCCAAATTTCTTAGCAAGATCCAAATCTACTTCCCTCTCTGCATTCTTGCTACCATTTCCCAGAATCTATGCTCCAGCCATATTCAGTTTTTTATTTGTTTGTTTGTTTCTCAAAGACATCACCCGTTCTCTCACCATGGAGTTTCTAATTTACCATTCACTTTGTCTGAACCATTGCCCTCTTTGCCATCTTTCCTTCCAGAAAGTCTCCCCTCACCAGCAAGGTAAGGGATGGGACAGATTCTCTGTGCTTCCCCAGCTCTTAGTATCTCCCTTCTTTATCTCTTCCACCACCCTTCTTCCCTTCTAACTCCCCTCCCGACACTGAACAGAGACTATGACTGGTTCACTATTCTATGACCAGGACCAAACACTCTTCATGGCATTTATCAGGTGGCCAATAATTGTTGGGCAAACCAATGAATGAAGGCAATCTAGGATGAATGGCGCTTCACTTTGGAGTATGACTAGCAAAAATTTAGCACCACTAAAAACTTCGGCGTCTGTTACCTTATTACTGAAAAGCAATGCTGCTTAAATTTAATATAAGATTGTAAATACGGCCCAATGACAGTGGTACATCTGATATGATTTTGCTAGTATAACCGTATTGTAATGTGTACTTATATCCCCATAAGCTTAATGCAAAATGTCTTAGGTCCCACTTGTATTGTTACATTGGGTAGCAAAGCATTACTCACAATACCTCCCCTAGTTATCTATGGATGAAGACTTTTTGAGGTAACACAATTCTGAGGCAAGGCAAGCAAGAAAGTCTTTTTTCTATTGATAACACAACTTTTCATGGAAAACCCTTAACAAACAGATGGGCCTTGGACTCTGCCCTGCTTGAGCTCCACAGAACTGCTAGAGCCAACTGTGGCCCTGATGGGAAAGTGAGTTTTCATTTAAAGTGATATTGTGTCAGGGAAATGTTTAACTCATAGAGGATACTTTTGTGCTTATGCCTAATGAACTTAGAGCAGTTAAATGATATTTAGTAATATAATAAATAAAATAAAAGGTACAAATATCTCAAACTCAACAGCAATTTATTCAAATGCCCAGCTCCTGTAAATATCTAAAACTCATTGGAGGTGGGTTAATTGGATCCATTCAACTTTTAATTGTTGTTCATGTTTTGTGAATATCTATGTTAAAAATTTTTTCAGCTCTAATTTTGAAGTATTATTATCTCATATTCTACAGCTATCATGAATCGGAAAGTTAGCTTTAAATATTGTTTATTTATTAAATAAATGTAAAATTGGCAAGATAATTAAAATTTGCATTATATACCAAAATAACCAGAAGACTGCTATTATTATTTTGTTCTAGCCTCTAAACACCATAGACAGAGTGGTGTGACAAAGATTTACGGCCTGAAACTTAAGTTAATTTCCTGGCTCTGTTACTTACCTAACCCCCTGAGCCCAAAGTCAAGAAGTAAGTCAGAAGTAAATCTCAGGTACTCTGCCTCTGGAACATGTGAGCTTGCCTACTAGGCTATATTGCCTTTCTTTAGAGTGTAATGATTAATATATGTGAGTTTCCGGTTTCCCACCACTCCCACTATAGAGAGAGGTCCACTGACATTTAAAATATATTCACTAAGTCATGTCTCTAAGATTGTAGCTCAATGATGTTAAGCTTATCTTTATTTCCAAAACCTTCCTGACAAGATCCCCTTTAATTTAATAAACTGCAATGACTTGAAAGCTGAAGAGTGAGAGAAACCATAGAAATAGTCTTTCAGCTTCAACCTAATTCTTACTTAAAAACCTTTTAAACTAAAAGTGATATTCGAAATTTATTTTGAAATGTAACATGAATATCTGGTGATAAAAATATGTTTTTGCTTAAAAAATAAATATTTGCATTTAAAAGAAGCGGGCTATTTTTAAGTCAACAATGCATATGAGTGCCAATTCCTGGAATTCTTAAATACTCCTTAAGCTTGGGGAGGGAGGTCAGTTGTTTTTTTTTTTTTTAACAGGAACATAACATTTTCTTGGTAAGCAAGTTGGAAGAAATCGATGCTATGGGCAGAAGATAGAGAGAGGAAAGAGCACAAAACAAGATCTCTTTTCTCAATCCAATAAATTGAATGAGATAATCTCCAATTCCTCATATGAATGGACCTCGCATCCTTTTGTATCGCTAAGAGTTGCTCTGGCCTTGTTTTGAGTTTAATCACGAGAAAGGACAAAGTGTGCTTAACTAGATTGCTCAAGTGGTGTGCCAGGTATTTCTTCAGTGTCTCTTTTGAACTGTCAGATCTTGGCTCCAGTAACCTCAAACAAAACACTACATATTGTTTATAGTAATTTATGAACAAGGCAATCTGGTTTCATTTGGTTTTCTTTCTTTCTTTCTTTTTTTATGAGGAGAAGCAAGGTTAATTTGCCTATTTTTCTACTTTCACTACTTCGCTTTTACTTGTATTTGAGTTCCTGTTCATCTGGTCTGCAAGTTCTTCCATAAGGAGAAACTTTCTGATATTAAGAACTACAGACCTGTATGTCCTTTGTGGCTCCTTCCTACAAGGAGAGTAGTGAGCCTCCCTCATGGATGCCAGATGCAGGGAGGAGTCTGACCTGGACTAATGCATTTCAGCTGGTAGTCTTCTGTAACTATTGCTTCATCTCTAATTGGTGCTTGAGATGCCATCATAAAAGATACACTTACGTGGTTTCCATTTCCCCAACCACCGTCACATTAAATTTGCTTTCGAAGTCAAAGCCATAGGATACACCTGCTGCAATCACAGTCTGCAAAGTTGCAAATTGCCCGAGTTAGAAATGTGAGATATACCTGTCTTTCTTTACAAAAAAATTGCCAAAAACTACCCCTTGACCTATTAGATAAGAATCTCAAGGCCAGACTTTGCTACTTTTAAAAAAAAAATAATTTATTTTAATTAATTTCAAATATACAGTACATTGGTTAGGCTTTTATATAGTTTATAAAATGATCCCCCTAATTGCTCCTTCTCTCCTCTGGTTTTCCACCCAGCCAATATATTAATGCTAACTGCAACCTCTATGCAGGCTTTGCTACTTTTAAAAAAGTCCTGAGGCAATTCTAATGTTCAACTAGAATTGAGAACCAGAGCTCTAATTCAAATGGGTCTCTTGCCTTCTCATAAATCTTGCCCTCTGCACCAGCCTTGTCTTACATGGAAAGAATAAACTCAAAATCATAAAAAGAAGTTATTAAATTCTGAATGAAGATAAAACCATACTAAATATTATAACCAGAAACTTCACAGATGGCATCTGCCCCACTAAAATCTCCTGACCTACAGATAGTGAAGTGCTTTCAATATACAAACATGAAACTAATGAATTATGAAAGAAAATCTTAAGATGATCAGTTACCAGAATGAATTCAATCGGAATGGGCACTGGAAGTTTGGCTTTGTAGCGCTGATTTATTTCTTTAACCACAAATAAAATGAAGAGGATAATCAAGGATGTCACAAGGTCTGCAATATTAGTCTTCTCTATTTGTGTGACTATGGAAGTTAGTACCTAAAATTGTAAAAACAAAAACATGTAAGTGCTATATTAACGTATAATTTGGATATAGCACTCAATTATTCACAAATAGATAAACGCTGAAGCAAATGAACTGACAGAGATTGACAACGATTCTCTGCTCTGCTCATGTTCACCATGGATGAGTAATTGCAGAGATTAGCATGTAGTTAATGAGAAGGGCCAGTTAGCATAGTGTCAGCACTACACTGGTTTAGGGATGCTTCTGGTGATTTTGCTTGGAATCTCTGGCTAGTGTCAAATTTTCTAAGATACTTTTCACATTTTTACAACCGGTCTCTTCTGCTCTTAGGTCTCTTTGGCCATCATTTTTTATTTCACTGTTATCGCTGTTGCTCTGTCCAGGGAATAAGCTCTGATCTCTGATAATTTTTCTTAGCATATATCCCGTTCGTTCCTGGCTTTTTCTTTTTTTAAGTTAAGATCCCTCACATTTCTTAGTTTACTCTCTATGTCACTTTGGAAATGATTTTGTTGGCTAACTTCACTGTGCATAATTTTAATTCTTGAAGCCAGTTGGATTACATACCCATGGAATCCAGACAGCTCAAGCAGACCTAAGCTAGACTCCAAATTGCTCCTAAAACACTCCACTTCCAGAATAGTTCTGGATGAGAGTGAGAGAGTATTGGTTCCAGTTTGGAGCAAGTTCTATCTCAGATTCCCAATGATTGTCTTGATAGAAGCACCAATAAGCTCAAAGTTAGTAGAAAGAAGGAAATAACAAAGATCAAAGAGGAATAAATGAGATACAGACTAAAAAGACAATAGAAAAGATCAACGTAATTAAGAGCTGCTGTTCTGAAAAGATAAACAAAATAAACAAAACTTTAGCTAGATTCACCAAAGAAAAAAGAGAGGACTCAAATAAATAAAGTCAGAAGAGCTAAGAATGCTGTTCTACACAGTTCATCCTCTGAAAGAGGGAAAAACCACTCTTCTATTTACATATTGGTTAATTTCCTTTTGCCTTTGAAACAGGGATGCATCAAAGAGTCAGGAGAACTTCAATTCTAAAAAGAACAGATCTTTAGATAATCATGCTAAGTGAAATAAGTCAGATGGAAAGCATGGAGAACAATATGATTCTACTCATATGTGGGATATAAAATTGAAAGCAACAAATGAACAAGCAAAACAAACAAAAATTCATAGACATAGACAATGGTTTAGTGGTTACCAGAGGGAGAGGGGAGAAGGAGGTAGGTAAGGGTAAAGGAGGTCAAATATATGGTGATAAAAGGAGTTTTGACTGTGTGGTGACACACAATGTAATATATAGATGATATATTATTGAACTGTACACTTGAAACCTATATAATTTTATTAACCAATGTCACCCCAATAAATTTAATTAAAAATAAAAGAATGAGATTTTTTTTTTTTTCAGAAATAAGGAAGCATTATCGCTAAATTAGCACATTTCTTTCAAAATAAGACTTTGGGAAAATTTTAAAAACTTGGAACAAAATAGTAAATCTTTTAATAATGTACTTAGATTTTTTCTTTTTAATAATACCTAAGAGTCAAATCTAAGAGAAAAGTAGTACTTAATTTCTGTCGGTCACATTAGTTGTATGGTAGATGTGGTTAATTTTCACTGTTGTTCTCTTTGCCACTAACTTTTTCATAATGTGAATAAATTTCACAACCCATTTGTTTCTTGAAAGTTGTAGGTAAGCCTCATGGTAAAGGCATTAAAGGGGAGTTCTCCCAGAAACATGGTAGTGAATTTCATGTATTTTAGTATTTTTTAAGCAAAAGGAATACTTACTTTGAAAAGTGAAAATGGTTCAGCATATGCTGGGACCTGTAGCTGAAAAATAAATTTGAGTTGGGAAACCAAAACATGAACAGCAGCAGCTGTGGTGAAGCCACTGATTAGAGATTCAGATAGATATATCACCACAAATCCGATCTGCAGAATCCCCATGATCAACTAGAAAGAGAAAACATAGATTAGGGTATATCTCACAACCTGACGGACCTGCAATTGAAATAATTCAAAATGTAAAAGTTCAGCCTGTACATATATGTCTTGAAGAATCATGAGTCCCTGTCTCCTGGAACACCTCTCATTCAGGGTTCCTCACTCTCCTCCCCTCCCCCACCCAATCCCCTAAGGTGGACTGTTACATGCTATTCAAATAGCATGCAAGTCTAGCACATCTCCAAGAAGTAATAGGCTTATCTCTCCCACCCCATTTTTTAATGGTGTGGTATCACCCAAAAATCTTTCATAGTGGATTCTTACCTAGCATCAGCCTTCATAAATTTTCCAATGTAATTTTAAGTTACACTTTTCTAGCTACTATAACATGCATGGGTGAGAATCCATTCATATTCCCTCAAACAAGTTGCTTGACTTATTTCGTAAGAAATAAATAATTGCGTATTGGACATCTGAAATGCTCAGTTTTAACTGGGGGCAAAAGTGATTAATTCCCCCAAAGCATCAGTATTTTGCAGCCAGGTGAATGGATGGATTTTCCTTCCCTTGGCTACCTGGCCTGCCTTTCCATTCATGTTATCAGAATGCAGCCAGAGCTGTGGACATGCAAAGGTGCTGCTAGGTTCAGAAATGTCTTAGAAACAACTGACCATGCCATTTGTCAATAGGCTATATCACTTATATCTTTGTATAAACTGACTCTTTCTTTAAGGTATGGTCCTAACCAATAATATCGTTGCAGAAACAAGACTGGTGAGAAACCAAGCACCACTTGGAGATTTGGAGAACTCAGGTTTATTACACCAGCAGTCCCAGAAGAGCTAGCGCTCTGAAGATCTGGGCCCCAAGCTCAGGGGTAATCTTACTTTTACAGGGCTTAACAAACAAAGGCAATACATCTGTTCTTAACAAGCAAAAGCATCTGTTATCTAGACAGAACAATTAAAGAGGGGGGTGGGGGTGATTCTTTAGTTGATTTTCAGATCACTCTGCCCTTTGGCCTATGCAGCAAGCATGTCTACAGAAGCAGAACAAATAACTGATTACAAGGTTAGCCATTTGAGTGGAAAATTCCTCTTCAATATCACTATTCAAAAACTTAGGCAATATCTTGAGGAGTCCATGACATTTTCATTGTCAGCAGTGGTGTGGTATGGGAGGGAGGTTTTAAGTCCCTCCATAAATCTCTTCAGCTTTTTCCAAATCTTTGATACTAACGGTTAACAGTTAAAAGTACTAAACCCTAATCCCTTTCAAGTAGATTACGGTCCCTAAGAATTAGAAAAAGTTTCGAAGCTTCTACTTTCACTATTATTTGCATATAGTTATGTTTAGTGGCTATATCAATTCCCAGGTATTTTAATTGAATTCGGCAATTCAGCATTTCACACTTTGCCATCTCTTTAGACCCACATTAACTCATCTTTACAACGTGGATCCATCCCTCCACTTCCAGTTGTGGTGAAGGGCCCTTCTGAAATCATTTCCTATGGACCACAGAAGGAGGGCTACAGATCAAAGGGAAGAGTGGGAAGGGGCAGCAGGAGGAAGGAAAAGTAAAAAAAAAAAATGTGTACCAGTCAGGACAAGCAGATTGGGGAGGGTACATTGCATGAAAAAGTGCTCACCTGGATAATTCCAGAAAGAATTGTGACTGTTGCAGCCACCATCACCTTACGTTCGTCTGATGACGAATAATCACTCGTTGAATTGGTAGAGGAATTCATAGCACCTGCACTGGCCGTTGAGGTTAATCTTGCAACTGTTGTTCCCACCATCACACTCAGAACTGGAAATGGACCTAATTAACGGAGGGTGAATTGTGGTCAATTTATGCCTCCCTAAAGCACAGTTGTCTTTCAACCACAATGCAGCATATAAAAAAATTGCTCTGTCCTCCTTCCCCAAGCCCCAGTCCTAATTCTTATAAGAAACTATGATTCTTCTCTTGAGTTATGCACAATTTGAAATGGATACAGTGCATGGCAGATAGAATTCATAAAGGAAAAGCAGTGTGAGCATTAATTAACCCAGAAGTTCACTTACCTGCAGATATGTGTCTAGAAGTGCCCAAGAAAAAGTAGATTATGATCGGGAAAAAGGCTGCATATAACCCGTAGCTTGGGGGGACGGTGGCAAGCAGAGCATATGCTAAACCTGTAAACATATAAACATCAGCATCCTGATTTCGTGCAAGGGGAATCACAGACGTTCTTATTAGGTTCTTTATTTAAAATTGGACTCTAAATATAAGTTACTTTATTAAAGACTCAAATGTATCAAAGATGTAAATGTAAGACCTAAAGCTATAAAACTCAGAAGAAAATATAGGTGTAAATCTTCATGACCTTGGATAAGGCAATGATTTCTTAGAAATGACACCTGTGGTATAAGCAATCAAATTACAAACACATAAGTTGGTCTTCATCAAAATTTTAAAATGTGTGTTTCAAAGGATACTACAACAAAAGTGAAATGACAACTCATAGAATAGGAGAAATTATTTGCAAATTATATCTTGAATAAGGGCCTAGTATCCAGATTATATAAATAACCCTTGCAACTCAATAATATAAAGATAAATAACCTAATTTTAAAATGTGCAAAAGATTTAAATAAACATTTTGCAAAAATATATACAAATTGCCAGTAAGCATGTGAAAAAATGCTCAACATTATTAGTCATTAGGGAAATACAAATCAATTCCACAATGAGATCCATTTTATATTTATTGTGATAGCTAAAATAAAAAAGTCTGACAATAAGTGTTCACACGGACACAGAGAAATTGGAACTCTCATACTTTACTGTGGGTTACCATATGACACAGCAATTACACTCCTAGGTATATACCCAAGAGATATGTTCCCACAAAACTTATGTACAGTGTTCATAATAGCATCATTCTGCAAAGTGAAAATAAACCAAATGTCCATCAACTAATGGCTGAATAAACAAAGTGTGGTCGATTCATACAATAGATTATTATTCATACATAAAAAGAAATGAAGTACCCATGCATGCTGCAATGTGGATGAACCTTGAAAACATTATGCTAAGTCAAAGAAACCACACATAAAAAATAACACATTCTATGAATCTGTTTATATGAAATGCCCAGAAATAGGCAAATTCACAGAGACAGAAAGTTGTTGCAAGTAGTATAGATAGAGGGGAGGATGGGAAGTGCCTGCTAATGGGCAAGAGATTTTTGGGGTGGTGGTGGTGAAAATATTCTGGAATTAGATATGATGGTGGCACAACCTTGTGACTAAACTAAAAAACAATGAATCGTACACATTAAAGGGATGAATTTTATGATAGATGAATTATATCTCAAAAAAAAAGTTACCTTGTAGTACACACACCAGCCCTGTGCTGATTCCAGAAACAATGTCACTGGGGAGCCATTCTTTTATCCGGTATGCTGGTAACCAAGTTGCTATGGGGAACAACGAGAGGGCAATTCTCTTGGCCTTTTGTGTGGAACAGCTGAAAACATTGGAAGTCACAGGTCAGTTAATTAATATCAAATTTTAAGTTTAGTATCTCACTGTAGGTGGAAAATTGGTAAAGATGGCAATATATTTAAAAGCGAACTAGTACTTGCCCTAACTTTCCCATGAACATTCACCTCCTTACCCATATCAACTGACCCCTGACCTTTGAAAAAAAAAGGATTTTTTTTTTCAAAGAAAAATGCTGCTTTCTTTAGCTGTAATAGAGCTTATTTGTCATCCTCAGCTTGAATTGTCCAACATTTCAACTGAGTTTCCTCTGTCCTCATCTATTAATCCCCTGATGTGGAAAGACTGTGTTGAGAACTGAGATGGTGTTCATTTCAGAGACGACCTTCCCAGCTCTGACAGAGAGGTCTGCAAACCAAAGATAAAAAGATTCTGAAGACTATGGGCTAGAGCCAGAAAGGAGAGTTTGAATGCTTGAAAATTTAGGAGAAAATGCTTCATTTATTCCTAATGCCAATATCTTAAAAAAACTTACCTACAACACACTTTGAGATGATCCAGAAATGTCTTATGATATCTGTGTTTCTTCTTGTATTCTTCCCCAAAAGCATTTGCAGAATATACTGGCCTCGCCACAATGTACTGATTCCCAATGGGTTCGATCATTTTGCTTTCTCTGATGACTGTGATAAATAGAAGACCTTTGGAACTATGCGGCAAACTCTTCTTTTTGCCTTCACTGAAGTCAGGTTTAAATGCTTGAAACCAAACGGAGCTCGCTTCTTAAATAACTCAGAGATAATGTGATGCAATTTACAGATGAGTGAGCTCTGGACTGAATGTTACCACCTTTTGAGATCAAAAGAGGCAGGTTAAGGGACCTGGATTGTGTTTTGTGACAGCGATATTCCAATGAGCTGGACACTGGACACTGCTCCTTTGGGTAAGTAAACAAGGGCTTTATTTATTTATTTGTTTATTTATTTATTTTTAAAAGACCACCAAGAGCAATAGAAATTAACTCAGTTTACTAATCAGCAAATATATTTTTTTTCTTGTAAAGTAAGATCTCAAGAAAAGGAATTTTATTTTTTTTTCCTAGAAATGTTTCCAAAGTTATGGCATTGGAGCAGTAGGACAGATTAGACTTAATGTCTACTTATTGCTTCTAACTCAAGTCGGGGCTGTTCCATTTTACTCATCATTATTTTTGTAATACCTTAGAAAATGCTTTTAATGTGTAAAATTTAAGAATATTTCCCATTTAAGTTATTTTCTTATTGTTTCTGGAAATTAAATAGTTTTACAATTTATAGTTGAGGAATCTGGCATAAAGTATTACTTGGTTACTTAGTTCACTAATGATGAGATCTTTTAAAGGAAAGATCCTAGGCAGTTTACTTAACCTCTCTGAGCCTCAGCTATGTGATTGGGATAATAATACTCAGTTCCAGGGTGAATGTGAAGATTAAATGGGAATGTTTTCGAAGCATCTAGCTTGTACCTAGCACACAACAGGTCTTCACCAAATGATAGTTATATTTCCAACTATTTGCATTTCCTGCACAAGATGTTTAAATTTTTTGTTCTCACCTAAATCTGTTATGCTTAAAAGATCAATTTTGCAAAAACCTTTAATGTGCATTACCTATTTAGTCTTCACAATTTTTTGAGGCACATACTATTATTATTATTGTTCTCATCTTACAAATGAGAAAATGACAGCACATTCCTCCCCACAAAAATTTAAGTACTTTTTCTCAGGTCATACAGCTAGTAAAGTATCAAAAATGTGACTTTTGTTTTCAGACTTCTTTGCTGTTTCTTCTACAACCTGCAGCTTCTCTGTTGTCCAATGTGCGCATAATTAAAGAACATTACAACTAACTATTTGCATTTTTTCCCTCTAATCTTAGTTCTATATTACTACCCATAATAACCCAGAATTTTCTTCCTTGACCACAATCACAATTATTAATTGAATTATCTTGAATTAGATTGTATCTTGTTACACGATGCTCTCTCATAGCTCAAAGGGATTTTCAGCATGTTTGCAGAGCTCAAGTTATAACCAGAAATCAGATGCTAACCTCAAATTATGGCCCCAGCTGACCTCTCTTTGACTGCCTATTTCTCTCCCCCAACCCATTCCCAATCCTCCTTCTAAAGCCCTCTCTACTGAGCTTATCTGACCACAATGTGGTGCTTCTTGCTCACCCTCTGGCTTGACCTCCAGAATTTGAGTCCTTTTGAGCTTTGTTATGACTGTTAGACCCCCTACACTATTCTTTCTGAACTTCCTCCCACCTCAAGCTGCTTGTCCTGCCTGCCTCTCATCCCACCTCAAGCTGCTTGTCCTGCCTGCCTCTCATCCCACCTCAAGCTGCTTGTCCTGCCTGCCTCTCATCTCTATTCCTGCTCCTATCCTTCTATCCCGTTTCAGGTGTCAGTACTTCCCATTGTCAGAAGAACGTGTACATGATGTAGAATTGGCTTACTCATTGCTGTGCACAGCACAGATTCTTGTCTTTATTTGCCAATTACCAACAATATGGTTGGGGCATTAGCATTTAATATCTAATCCATATTAATGACTCTTGACACCTTAAATATCTTGCAAAGGCTGTCTGGAGTGTCTTTCAAGAAGTGCTTTAATCCTGTGAGGTACCCAACTTAGCCAACTTGAAGACGAAGAAGACTCAAGTAGTGTGCATTTTATTTCTGTCAGATGCTACCTCCGCTACTCTCACACAAGTTGGGCTCTTGGTGACCCCACTCCTCAGTAGGATCACAAAATACCCTTGTGCCAGTCAGTGTTGAAAACCAGAAGCAAGTCGGACCTGTTCCTTGAATTGGTCCTTGAACGAAAAGAAACACAGCAGTGTCCTTGATAGCTGTACTTGGGGGAGAGGTAGGAGAATAAGAAGAATAATTGCTCCAGTGAGCACCGTAAGAAGGACCCCAAGCAATAGCTGAAGAGGAACTAGAAATCAAGGGCACATAAATCCCATACTCTAGTTTGTGTCAAGCTGGATGGAAGCAGGAGATGATGGTATCAGAACTGGAGAAGGCCAGGGCAGTGACTAGGAGTGACTGGGTTGGGGGTGGGGTGGGGTGTGGGTGGGTGAAAAGGATATCAGTGCAGATGTTGATAAAGGAAGGTCAAAAGGGGTGAGGGCTGGGGCAGGATATAATTCCTAGTTAAATCCTGTGATTCCTGTGTGCTTCGGTCACTTTTGAAACACAGCATAATTAATTAATCATGTTATGGATATAAACCTGAACCAAGTAGCTCTTTTCTTGGGAGAAATTAGTGGGTCTTTTATCATTTAGAACATAAAAACACTCCTGTTTTTCACTATCTTTTAGTGATGACCCACTGAAACCTATCAGCATTTCACAGACCCAGATTATTTCTGAAGCCACAGTCTCTTCCTAGAGAGAGAAGAGAAGCTGACCTAGGAGATTAAAGGTGATGGGACTAAGGTGAGGAGACTGAGGATGGGAGGGCAGTTCCTCCAGAGAGTCCCAAGACAAGATGGCTAAAGGAAAAGGTTTTGGATTTTTTTAAACCAAAATAATATGGATAATTCACACAACTCTAGTTCAGTGTTCATAGAGGGCAAGAACATAACAGGTATCTCGCATTGCTTATTCAAGACTTCTGCTTACATGACTTTATAGTAGTCTTACAAGATCTTCTAGGAACTTAGTTTTAGCTTCATCTTAGTTTAGGCACAAACTTATTATTATTATTGACCATTGTTTTTATTGGCCATGCTGCTTAAGAATTAAGTCAAATCTAATTTAGTTAAGAGGTACAGCAGAAAAGAATGAGAATTTGGAAGCTGAGTAGACTTGGCTTCACATCTTTGCTTTGCTGTTGCTTAATTGTGCCGCTGTGGGCAAGCACGTCAAGCCTTCGTTTTTCTAATAGTGAAAGGGGTTGCCATTACCTTCCTTGTAGGGCTGTAGCCAAGACTGAAAGTAAGCTATGTAAGGAGAAACTTCTTAGCTTTGATTTCATAGATAAAAGCCTTAGGCCTGAATTTAATATTGACTTAGTGTAAACCTAATTTAAACCTGCACCTGTATGACAAAAGGCAACTGGAACTTGTCTGAAAATGTTAATGTTGCAATGTTTACTATGAGCTTATCCAGAATTAGAAGTTTTCCATTCTTATCCATTTATTTTAACTTAATTTAAAGCATCTACCTATCTATGGCATACGAAGGCTTTGCTATTATGACTCTGGCCTATCCCACAAGCTTCTTTAAGCCTCTTCCTTCACAATTATAGCAGTTTCCTAGCACACCATGATATTTAAAATCTCCATGCCTTTGCACATATTATTTCCTTTATCTGTGTTCTTATCCAATACCTGGTAAGTCCCAATTCATCCAGAAGAATACTCAACTGTCCCTGACTACTGACTCATTCCTTCGTTCCTTCAACAAGCATTTAGTGGCCTATTGTTTGTCAGGGACTCTTTCCTACCATAGTTGTATAAGATAAAAAGATGCCAAAAAAAGTCTTCATACAATCTTCTGGGAACAGTTAACAACTTCTTTTTTGTACATATGTTGTACAGTCATGCGCCACATGATGTTTCAGTCAACGATGGACTGCATATATGATGGTGGTACCATAAGAGTATAATGGAGCTGAAAAATCCCTATTACCTTAACATCATAGCACAATGCATTACTCACATGTTTGTGGTGATGTTGGTGTAAACAAATCTACTGCGCTGCCAGTCATATAAAAAGTACAACATGTACAATTATGGGGTGTACGTAATACTTCACAATGATAATAAATGACTCTGTTACTGGTTTATGTATTTACTATACTATATTTTTATTATTTTAGAATGTACTCCTTCTATTCATAAAAAAGTTTGCTGTAAAACAGTATGCCATGTTATGTCGGCAGCAGCCTCATACATCTTGTACCTACTGAGTCTTTTGATTGCATCATTTTCTCTTGTGCTTGATTTAATCTGTCATTTTGTTTATCATGACCTTTTAGTGTTCAAACAATAAATAGCCTATCATGCATTTCTCAGAATGTATTCCCATCGTTAAGTGAAGCATGACTATACATATTTCTATCCCATATTATACTGTGTTATTTGTTTACAAGTTCTTCTCCTCAGTGAGACTCAATTGTCCAACAGCAAGGTCCAAATCTTAATCATTTTTTGTCTTTTGCCCAATACCTGTAAAATAGTAATTGCTCAGAAAGATTTGTTGAAATAAACCGAACTATGAATAAAAGGTATATAAATGATAAATTACATAATCCTAAACTCCATTACAGGAAGAATGCCCCAAATGATTGGCACAGAAAATAAACTGTGAGAAGAAAGAATGTGAATGTGAGTTGGAATTGAGGAAGATTTCATAAAGAAATTGGGTCTTGAGTTAGATGTTAAAAAACAGATAAATTTGAGAGAGATGATGAAAAATCAGCTGGGAATGAATGGAATCATGTTTAAGGGATAGTGATCCAAAAACTAAAACAGAAGACATTGTTGGCCACCTTCAGAGAAATGTTAAAATGTGCCATAGCAAGGAGTTTCAGACCCATTAGGCTCACAAAAGAGTAAAGAGAATCACTTTATTTTCTGTAAGACCTTGTTGTTTCCTAAGCACTTTCATTT